CAAGCGTGAGATGCTTCCTTCTGTTCAGAAGCTTGAGAAGCTCGGCTACAAGCTGTTCGCCACTTCCGGTACCGCCGATTTCCTCCAGGAGCACGGCGTTCAGTGTCAATACCTTGAGGTTCTCGGTAAGGAGGAGGATCGCAGCTCTGAGTTCTCTCTCACACAGCATCTGGCCAAGAACACCATTGATCTGTATATCAACTTGCCTTCCAACAACAAGTACCGTCGTCCTGCCAACTACATGAGCAAGGGTTACCAGACTCGACGTATGGCTGTTGATTACCAGATCCCCCTCGTTACCAACGTCAAGAACGCCAAGATCCTCGTTGAGGCCATTGCCCGCCACTTCGAGCTTGAGGTCTCTAAGCGCGATTACCAGACCAGCCACCGAACTATCGTGCTGCCTGGTCTAATCAACATCGCTGCTTTTGTTCCAGGCATCGCTACCGCCAGCAATGATGACCTTCAAACAGTCACCAAGGCCTCTATTTCTGCTGGTTTTAGCATGATCCGGGTTATGCCTCTGGGTGTTGATGGCGCCATCACTGATGCCCTCACTTTGAAGACCGCTCAGCAGAACAGCAGACGGGGTGGTTACTGTGACTACAACTTCTCTGTGGCCGCTACCTCAGACAATGCTGATCAGATCAGCCATGTTACCGGCGAGGTTGGCTCTCTCTTCATTCCCTTCAACCACCTCTCTGGCAACATCAGCAAGGTTGCGGCTGTCACTGCTCACTTTGATTCTTGGCCTACGCACAAGCCTATCGTCACCGATGCTAAGCTGACTGATTTGGCCTCTATTCTTCTCCTTGCCAGCCTCCACAACCGTCGCATCCACGTTACCTCGGTCACCAACAAGGATGATATCAAGCTTATCGCCCTTAGCAAGGCCAAGGGACTCCAAGTCACTTGCGACGTCTCGATCTACTCTCTATACCTCAGCCGTGACGAGTACCCTGAGTGTGAGCGTCTGCCCACTGCAGCTGATCAGAAGGCACTCTGGCAGCACATGTCAACCATTGATGTGTTCTCCATTGGTAGTCTGCCTTACCGCCTGGCTACTTCGCTTGGCCATAAGGGCGATCCTCATATGGGCATCTCTGATGCTCTCCCTCTGCTGCTCACTTCAGTTGCTGAGGGTCGTTTGACTGTTGACGACATCAAGGACCGCCTTTACACCAACCCTATGGAGATCTTCGAGCTCCACGATCAGTCTGGTACCACCATTGAGGCTGAGATCGACCGTCCCTACACCGTGGCTCCCGGCACCTTCTGGTCTCCCTTTGTGGGCCGCACTATGCGTGGGTCTGTTCAGCGAGTCACTTTCCAGAACACCACTGTCTGCCTTGATGGTGAAGTCCTGCCTGTCTCGCCTCAGGGTAAAGACATGTCTTCGCATATCGCTCCTCCCATGTCGCCTCCAGTCAAGCCCACCACCTCAATCGCCCAAGCCACCGACTCTCCCCAAGCCCGCCGCATGTCCATGCTGGGTGGCTTCCAGCCTCTGAACCGTCTCCGTGGTGTCGATACTGGTGCTTTTGGCGCTACTCTACCTTCGCCTGCTCGTGGTGCTGCTCCTGTTGAGGAACTCGCCCCTGGCCTCCAACTCCAACCTTTGGTCAGCTCTTCTCTGCAGCAGCTCCTGGCTCAACCTTCGTCGTTCAAGAACACACACGTCCTGTCCGTCAAGTCTTACAGCCGAGCTGATCTCCACCTGCTCTTCACCGTTGCTCAGGAGATGCGTCTTGGTGTCCAACGCGAGGGTGTCTTGAACATCCTTCGAGGCCGCGTTTTGACCACTCTCTTCTACGAGCCCTCTACTCGCACGTCGGCTTCGTTCGATGCTGCTATGCAGCGTCTTGGTGGACGCACCATCGCCATCTCTACCTCTCACTCTTCTGTCCAGAAGGGTGAGACTCTCCAGGATACCCTCCGTACTCTGGCTTGCTATGGTGATGCTGTTGTTCTCCGTCACCCTGAGGAGACCAGCGTTCATGTTGCTGAGAAATACAGCCCTGTCCCTGTTATCAACGGTGGCAACGGCAGCAAGGAGCATCCCACGCAGGCTTTCCTTGATCTCTTCACCATCCGTGAGGAGCTGGGTACCGTACAGGGCTTGACCATCACCTTCCTGGGTGATCTCCTCTATGGCCGACCTGTGCACTCCCTTGTATACCTACTGCGACACTACCACGTCCAGGTCCAGCTGGTCGCCCCCAAGGCTCTGGCTTTGCCACCTAAGGTCCGAGAGCAGCTCGTTGCTTCCGGCCAACTTCTCTGCGAGTCTGAGACTCTCACCCCTGAGATCCTGGCTCGCAGTGACGTCCTGTACTGCACACGTGTGCAGCGGGAGCGCTTCCCTACTGAGGAGGAGTACCAGCGCGTTAAGAACTCTTACCGAGTGGACAACGCTTCGCTCAAGCATGCTAAGAGCTCTTCAATTGTTATGCACCCTCTCCCCCGCAACGAGGAGGTTGCCGAGGAGGTCGACTTCGACCAGCGGGCTGCATACTTCCGACAGGTAAGCATTGATTCCTACGACATGTTGATCGCATTGCTAACATGATGTTTAGATGCGCTATGGCCTCTACTGCCGCATGGCTCTGTTGGCGTTGGTTATGGCTGATTCGTAAACTTGTACATGAGTCGGAAAGGATTTGAAAAGTTTCATGACATGACTGGATTTTTGTAATTTTTTCTTTTTTCAAAGCCGGATAGAAATTGGCGTGCGTTAGCAAGCATTCCAGGATGATGCCCGTGAACGACATTTGATGTTATAGAATGTGTAAATGAGAGGCGACTCACGTCGTCGGCGTACGGTTTTATGTATGTTATGTATCATGTATATATACGTATCGTCGCATACGTTTATTTAATTTAATACTTATTTATTATTTCACCCGTGCGTTCCGTGTATTTCGTGTGCGTGCCTGTTTTGTCTGCTTTTCGTGGCGTGAATATCATGATATGGATAGTGCATGTACTCACAAGTACCTTGGCGAAGTCCTTAATATTATAACTCTCGGGTATTGATACTGTTGTGTTTATTCATCTACAGTCCGTGTTGTGCAATGAATGATGGCCCATTTCCTGAAATCTCAATGTTTGTCCTTGGAATAAAGGTAGCAAATAGAAACTTCCTTCACTTCGAAGATGTCATGACTCCACCACCCGCCGATAGCGCAGTACGTACCTTTTTTCCTCTTGAACATCCCATTCCATCGTATGCCTCAAAGTTCGCCCAGTGAGTCAAATCGCATGATTTCCTACAGTAGACTCACATGTATATATATTTCAATGCGTCTTCTAATACCTAACTTCAGTTCTAGATTGTTCTCTACTGCAAAAATGGCTCTTCATTCAGCAGATACTTCGAAGCTCATCTGTATGTTCAACATTACCCCGCCAGTCTTGCCATCATGACTCTTCTCTTTGCGACACTATTTGTTCATGAAACAGTTTGCTAAGGATTCATAGTCGCTCCCGCGGGGCATCAGGCAACAGGGCAGGCCGAGCAGTTTACCAAAGGAACTCTTGTCCGCTCACAGCTCAACCCAGCATCACCTATCCCTCAATTCCACGCATGGTTCTCCCGTGCCCAGGAGAATGATTCTGGCGTAGATCATCCTGAATCATGCACTCTCTCAACAGCATCCCTCCCCTCAGGTCGTATCTCCTCTCGCACTGTGTATCTAAAGGAGCTCGACAACCGCGGCTTTGTCATCTACACCAACCTGGGCACGTCTCGCAAGGCAGCTGATATAGCGACTAACCCCCGTGCTGCAATGTTGTTCTTCTGGGAATCCCTACAGCGTCAAGTCCATGTAGAAGGACGAGTGGAGAAGATCTCCCGTGAAGAAAGCCAGACATACTACGACACACGAGCTCGGGGAAGCAGAATCGGTGCTTGGGCTAGTCGACAGAGTCAAGTACTTGAGCCTCAAGGTGACGATGACGATGGCCGCAAGCAGCTGGAAGGATGGGTTAAAGAGGTTGAGAAGCGGTTTGAGGGGCAGGAGAAAATCCCTGTTCCTGAGTTTTGGGGTGGGCTGAGGATTATCCCAGATAGGATCGAGTTCTGGCAAGGAAGGGAGAGTAGACTTCACGACAGGTTCGTCTATGAACGGGAGGGCGAGGAAGAGGAGTGGACATTGAAGAGGCTGAGTCCTTAAGGAGATGTATTAGTGTCCTACAGATATTCAAGCATTCTGAACTTGTAGCCAAATATAGAAGCGAAATGATGAATGAGCTCCTCGTTAAGATAATAGTCCATAGACGAGGGAGGGGTGGGTGATTGAGTGGCCTACGGTCAATTCCAATAGTTATAGTTCTATAACTGCGACTCTCGTTCGATACAGTAATTAACAGCACACATATTCAACATACAATAAAAACAACAAGCCGGCATCAATTGCCGTATCCAAGCATAGTAAACTGACTTACAAAAACTACATCACGAGCTTTTTCATGCGGTGAACCCTGGATAAGACATCAACGTCAACAATGTGGATCCCCCCTGAGAAATGCTGGCATGATATCGCCTGATTTGTTATGCCAAGGGCCGGAGGTATTTGTATGGGACCGGGAGCCATTTATAGAACATTAAAAGTACGTAGTTGTTGACTAGAATATACGGAAAGGGGTATGTGTAATCCTAGCTTCAGATCAGATGCCATATCCATGCTTCAACCTGTGATGCCATGTAGAAAGCCAGCCAAATCAATCCCAATAAACTTGTTCCTGAATTATAGGAACTCAATGTTCACCCTGAATGCCTCCGTATATAGAACAATGCTATTTCCCGCTCCGTCGTCCAATCAGGAGCGTTATGAAAGGGGTCTGATTCCCAAAACAACGCATAACAAGATGCCTATCACGCCGGATCGAGTCAAGTCGAGTCGCTGTCAAAACAATCCATAAAAAGTCGCTAAATGTGTTGGTATCCACGGTAACGCCTCGTAATGCCCAAAGTGAAGAAAGAACGCCGTTTATCCTTTTTAATCCTCTCGTGCCTGGAAATGGTTGAAGTAGTCATTGCAAAGCCTTGACGGTTGCGGGGTAGTCGAGTGGCAGACCTCGGCAGTCGGGGTATCGACAGGTGTTAGAGAAAGGCCCAACCCCAATACAGCCGATCCTGTGCCGAGTGTCTTTGATCTGGAGTGGCTAGGCACATAGTTGTTGTGATTGTTGCTGTCGTCGCTCTCGTCGTCACTATCCGCGGGCATATGCTCGTTGATGTCCCATTGGGGCTGCTGAGCAGCATATTGCATATCCACCATGGCATCCGTCAGACAGTCTTCGTCGCACAGGGGCATGATGCGGTAGTTGAGGTTCTCCATGATGCATCGCTCGGTGGTGTTGAGCTGCTCGGTTGACCACATGCCCCGGCCCCAGGCTTTACAATAGTACTGGGAAGCCTCCTGAGGATCTTCCATGAACTTGACTGCAATGACAAGAGCTGCCAGAATGATGAGCTCGGGGTTGACTGAGTCAATGTGTAACTGCTGTCGTTGAGGCATGATGGGCGTCGGTGGGAGAGTGTGTCGCTTAGAAGTGGATGAGAAGTAACCGGAAAGCAGGGGGCACGAGAGGCGCCATCGTCGGGCGAAGCGGGAGTCGAGGCTATCGAGAATGCATACTGCGAGAGCAACGGTCTCGATCGAGAGATTGGCGCGGCTCAGAATGGCCTGAACAAGAGGGACAGAGGCCGTGGCCAGAGAGGCAGATGACGGGATGAGGTTGACAAGATGGATTGCAGGGCCTATGCGGATAGTGTGTTAGTAAAACAAGCTTTATACGCTGGGTGACATGACAGGAGATCAACAACGTGATGTTACACATCAACAGTGCTTGATCCTCTGCCAGCCGAGCTAGTGCTAGTGCTACCACTTACCTCGAAATCGAGGCATCAATGGCTCTCCGTCGTCAAGTGTAGTTCGTGGTGATTGAGCCGCGGATGAGTTGCGCGAGCTTGGGGGCGGTGTAGGTAGGTTGGATAGTGGTCGATAGGCGAAGTAGCCCTCATAGCGGCCGTTCTTGTCTTGGTCGGCCATGATGGACTCGACATCCAGCTTCATATCTCGGTTCATCGTTTCGTTTATGGGCAGCAAGATGCAATGTTTGGTCGTCCAATCCTCAGTTCTAAGCAGTTCCAAAGGCCTCCTCTCATGATTCGGCGTGTCCGTGTATACGTAGGTGTAATGCGAGCGTGGGAAGACGAACCAACAAGTCCGCCTGTCTACGAAATACTCTTAAATATATATAAGAGGGTGGTAATCACGCGAGCACGCACACGAACAGCCACGTCTGCAGACAAGAGTTCAAGATGCACCAGTAGATAATGCAGGCAGGAAGAGAACAGTCGATGGGAGGGGGGAGGACCAAAGTTATATATCCCAAGCTGAGCCAAATACATACAGTACCTACGGAGTACGGATACCTCCAGTAAATATTGACCAAGGCCCAAGGACCCATTCACCGCGACTAGGTAAGGCTGAGCAGTCTGCTAAACCAGGATCCCGCCCAAAGCCAGTGCATTCACTCTCCTGTTGTAGCGGTGGAGGAGGCGGCTGGTTAGGTGTGGTGGACGTCCAGCGCCAGCGCCAGGACAGGGGGGCCCAGGGGGGGAACCTAGGCACCTGAGCTAAGCTTGGCTTAGTTACTGCACGGCTTTATTCTTGCAGACAAGCACCGGACCCTGCCCTGGTGCTGCTGCTGCTTTGTCCCTGGCAGTGACTGAGACAAGAAACCAAGGCCTTATTTTGCTCCAATTGCTCTGAGCTTGAGCTTGAGCTTCGCCGTGAAGCGGCTGAAAAGATACGGACTGTGGCGTTTTTCTAGGTAACTCCAGAATCAGGCACCGTGTGATAGACTGTAACTGAAGTCCGTAGATCCCTCGTTTTCTGTGATTTGATGTCCAGTGTTTTTTCTTGGCTTGGTTCATCTTTTTCGGGGCCGGCCGTATCTGTTGTACATCGTATTGGCGTATATTTTTGGGACATGAAAGTTTCTTTGACAGAGGGTGCCAAAATAAATCAACCAAGCAGCTCCCCGATTTGACGGGCGATCTCCCTCAGTCCTTTTTGTCACTGGAGATCGCAGTCCTACGAAATGTGCAGGGCCGGGGTGACGGAAAGTGGAGCAATGGAAATAGTGGCGGCGACGAGAACGATGCAACAGCAGCAGAAATGGACATGGATGCGGCTGCAACACCTACGAGCCCAGGTAAACAGCATTTGTCCAAGTTGAATAATGATACTCAAATGGCGGATCTAGACCTCGAAATGATCAATGTCCCAAAAGCTTATGGTGAGAAATCATACTCAGCCAAGGCGTTTCCGTCGTCACAGCCCCCCTGAATAGAACTTTGGCTGCTTATGAAATGCAAGATAATCCACCTCAGCTGAAAGCCACAGCAAAACTGTCACAGATGACGGATCGTTGGTCCAGCCTGACTGCCGTGGATGCTGTGCTCTGTCCAAGATGAGGTGGCTGACCACGGCTGACTTGGGCAACTTCTGATGACGCCCAGCGGCACTTGGTAGTCAGTCGGTAAGAATACTGTAATGCTCAGCAAGCAGACAGAGCTAGAGAGAGTCCTTGTCGCGTGGCTAACAACCAGATCAGGGAAATGGTGCAATACGGACGGGATCTACAGTAAATCGACCGCACAGGCGATTATCTGGAGCAATAAGGTGGTCAACCCTTAATAAAACGCACAACTGCGGCGCTATAGGCATCGATGCTCGGGTTTCGGTGCCTGACTAGGTAGGAAGAGAAACACTTCATACGTCAACAGTGCGTATCGTCCTTGATCGATCTCCCCGTCGAGTATACTGAATGACGAAACCACGCTCCGACCCTAGAGAGATGAGGATTGCTGCCAAGTGCTTCATCAAGCAATCAGACCCCGTCATGAGGGAAATAAAGACCGTTGCAGCAACAAAGATCGTCGAGACCATCACACCCTCTAGTTAAAGTCGTCGATACATACATACGGAGTAGTGCCTCGGAATTGAGGTCTCATGAGCACCTCCGGATGCACATGCAAGCGCCCAACCTTGAGGCACCGTGTGATATGAAACACAAGCCAAAGGCTGGGTCTTCATCTTGGGTACAGGCCGTTCTCATGCCGGCTCTTGAGCCTCTCTCTAGTGGTCCTGTTGAACGGTACGGTACTTGCAAGCCAAAACTTTTCAGCTCCAGCTGCTTATTCGTAATATCATCAACATGCGGCAGTGCCCCATAGTAGATCTGGGAGCCAAAAATATACCCTCGGTTTATTGTCGTTTCAGCAACATCATTCGTCCGAGACAGACGCCACGAGCGAACGGTTTTTCCTTTTGTCTTCTCGGATCAGTGATCATCAGTCGATTTGGCTTTGTCCGCTATGTACCTAGGTATTCAATGTAACACCAAACATCCCATGTATGCACATACGTGCAAGCATCAAAGCACTTCACTTCATAGCACATGCCAACTTTTTGGAGCCAATGCAAAGCTCACATCATCACATCATGGGGAATTTGCTTTTTCCTCCGCAGCAGTTTATGCACGACGGACTTTATCCTGCACAAAGTCGCGTGCTTCCCAAGTTTCCCCCTCCCAGGGAGTGGAGCTGGCCGACTGTTGGCTCTTGTGCCGAGCCCATCGCCGAGAGACCCCTTTTTCTCACTCACTTCGCTTGTTTGAGCATAGCCAGCAATGACGGGACAAGATCGTCGTCATCCCTGAAAACCCATGTCAGGGCTCGGACTTGGCGCTGCCGTTAGGACTCCGTGTACATATGTACGTACATACGTAGTCGTAGTCTCGCACAATCTCGACGCTGGCTATTTCGGGTGCAAGCTTTGATGTCCAAGAGGCTTGAGTCCTTGACAAGTGGTCTAGCGGGCTTGATGTAGGTAATACAGAACTAGCGGCTGACAAGGAGCGAGATCCTCAACGAGAAATGGACCTGCAATGCCTGCATTTGCAAGGAACGACTGGCTGCGGATCTGACAAAGATCTATAGCCTTGTTGTCAGTTCAGTCTCATCTAGAGATATTGCAACATGCTGCGTTGCTCCCTAGACCTCTCCAAAGTCAGTTGCCATTACTTTCAGCATGTGATTTATTAATCATACCAAAACACAGGGCTTCACGTCAGCCAAGCTATCAAAATCAACGGACTTGTTCTAAACTCACTGCTAGACTCATCCAACCTTCTAAGCGCGAAATGATCGATCATTAGCAGCACAAGGTCTAAAACCCTGGCGGCGCGCTAACCTTTGATGCTGTCAACTTCATCTCACCGCTTGCGAAGCCTCGGGCCGGTCGTTGACTTCATGATGGGACTTTGGTCGCAAACCCCCGTGCCTGCATCAAGCATGTCGAATGGTGCATGCTGAAGATTGAAGAGGAGGGGTTGGAAGTGCTGCATCGCTGCAGATATGATGGATGACTTTGACTGCGCAGATGAACGGTGCTTATTGTGCGGCAGAGTGACGTGAAACAGGCATTCTGCAATCTTAATTTTGAGTCGGCGGTTTCGAGATGATGATGATGGCCGCCCACGCTGTCACCTTTATATTACTCAGTGATATTACGACAGTTTCTACCCGTACGCAGCAATTATCCTGATTTGACGAGTCAGTTTCTGGGCTTGACACACGAGCTGCCTTGTCTGACTGCCCCATTGTCGTCGTATTCTCGTGTGAGCTCCTCCTGACTCTGAGAATGGAGGTGAGCGAGGAACAATCAAGTCCCTGATTATTCTGTCGTCTGGATAGTTAGATAGTTTCGAGATGGGTTAACATTGCGGGGTTGTCGATCTGGTGTGGTGATCATCTCCGTCAATGTTACCAACCAAACCGTGGGGTGCAGCAACGGCGGATCACTTGGACGGTTTGTGTACATACATAGTATATCCTTATTTCTCCTGCCTTTTTGAGCCGTCAAGGTAAGCTTGTAGGCTCCTGTTCAACCAGCACAAGAGATCGGGGTTTGGCTGGTCTGTCTACGAACGTTAGCATATACCAATCACAACCCTGTCAAACACAAAGTCCTCAAGTATTTGGGTTTAATATACAGGTGCGTATCAATTCTAAGTTGTGAAGCCAAGGTATCGGTATATGCTTTCAAGTCGATATAGAAGTATTGCAACTACCAGCTTCGTTCCTTTGATGGAGTCCAGGTCATTCCAGTCCATCTAAACAGGCCAAAGCCACTATAAGGAGGCGCCCACTTGCTGAGGTCGATATCGGCGTGTATGATATCTTGGAAACCTCTTTTCCTGTAGAAATCGTGAGCTGCTGGCTCAGAGCAGAGATATAGTACCACCCCTTCCGCTTCTGTCCTTGAGAAAGCTTCCCGCATTAACAGTGCGCCAATGCCTTGTTTGCGATGCGAAGGCTTGACGTAGATAAATGTCAACTCTGGCATCAACCAGTTAGCTACATACATAGGTAACGGTATCTTAGTTAAGACATGTTTAGTACTTACCGAGGCGATCAAGCTTGTCTGTCTCCTGGTTGATAATGTTCACTGCTTGTGCGACTGCGCAAAACACATCTCGGTTCATCCCCTCCGGAACCTCTTGGCCTGCAGTGCTTTCCTCCTCTGGAGAGCTGCCTTGTCCAGGCCGTTTTCGCGTGAGGACAAGATAGCCAATGATATCCCCAGACTCTTGATCAACTGCTTTGAGGCAGTGGGATTCCGGGTTGTTGAAGGAAGACTCTACAGCTTGCCTATAAATTGGCTTCTGGGCTGCTTCATTTGGCCAGTCATCATAAAGGAAACCATTGATTGCGAGACTGAGTTTGGAAGAGTAGATAAATTCCGCCAATGTTGCAAAATCGGACTCGGAAACATGCAGAATAGAGGCAATGTCATGTATGGTGATTGGTGAATACCCTAGCTGCTAAGGCCTATTCAATGGAACAAATATAGAGAGACGAGACATGACTACCTTAGCCTTAAGGTAGGTAAGTAGGGCATCTTCAGTATATCAATATCAAGAACCCAGGCAGCAGCATTGAAGATTTATAGTCAAATGCGTTACGTAAATCTACCCACAAAAGACAATCAATCAATGGCGTATACAATACAGGATATAAGAAGTAAATGCCCAGATGTGGAAGCGTCCTTCAACAGCCTTGATACACTTCGCTAATGCTTAGACGGCGATCTTGTTTATGAATGCTCCCTTCCCTAATGAATTCGTTATCGAGTCTTGTGTGGGCAAAGCGGTAGCAGCAGCTTTCCTTAAGCACAAGGCTTTACGAATCTAAGGATTTGATGTCTGAGATGGGGAATTGATGAAGGCTTAGCTAGGTATGCCTCTGAGACAGTGCTGTTTCGTTTCAGCAGTCGTGTTACAAGCTTTATTGCAACTTGCTGCCTTTCACTTAGGTAGTCTGAAACTTAATCAGCGACCTCTACGGATGGACAGTCACGATATGTAACAGCTGAATGAATAGCATGATGCATTTTAATAGCTCCAACTGCTCCCATTGATTTTTTATTTTTTTTATCTTGATTAAAAATACTCAGCTCTGCACCCCAACCAACTGCCGCAAGCCTCATTCCTCAGCTCAACGCCTCAGAACACCTTACCTAATCCTCCGTCAACCATTACCATTACCATCACCACCGCCATTTACCACTTCCATCAGCAAACCTCACGCGCACACGCACCAGAATGAGCAGTCACGATGGTTTTCCCCGGGCTGCTCACCTCCACCTCCACCGATAGAACCAGAACACCCTCTGTCCGGTCCAAGTCGAGCGACTCCAACCTTGTTCAGCCTGAGTACATCTACGACGAAGCCCAACTACCATGCCTGCCACCCGAGAGACCTGACCTGCGCGAACTCAACAACAGCCTCGAGGCTCTGGCCGCTGTGTTTCCCGATATCCAGATCGAGGTGTTTCGCGAGCTGTTGTCGAATTTCGACGGCGAGTCGAGGCTCGCTCTTGTGGCTGATGCACTGCTCAAGAATAGAGTGACGTGGGTCAAGGGTCGCTGGAGAGTTCCGGACAAAGAGACCGCTCAACCGGAGGCGATACCCAAAGCAGAGGTCTTCAAGAGCAAGGAGTACAAGAGAGCCGTACAAAATCTGGCATGGCATGAATTCAAGGGCCTGTCGCGGTCTACCATAAACGCCGTTCTTGCCGAGTCCAACTATTCCTACCTCGAAGCCCGCCAGACCCTCGTTACTCTATCCTCAAAGTCATGGCGTTTCACGATATCATCGTTGTTTTTCAGAAGGAAGCCTATCGCTACGGGCGAGGCAGAGAATCACCCACTGGTATCGTGGCGCTCAACCGGCCAGGGCTCCATTACTCCCACCATTCGAGCCACAGGCAGCGCAGAACTGGACCGTGAACTGTATGATACCTTGGTGGCGCCGTTGAAAGAGAAGGACAGAAGGGACAGAGAGGATAGAGACAGGGGGCTTGCAGTCATCCTCAACAACGAGGAGGCCGAAAGGGCAGATGCAACGCACGAGTGTGTCTGCTGCTTCATATCAGCAGCCTTTGAGGAGTTTACCCACTGCAACCGTGAGGGCCATCTCGTCTGCTACCGATGTGTACAGCACTCCATTAAAGAAGCAGTCTTTGGGCAAGGCTGGCAAAGCAGCATCAACCCTGAAACGGGAACGCTCAAGTGCCTCTCTTCAGACGGCGATGGATGTCCTGGGCATATCCCACCAGATCATATCCGCCGTGCCATGGAGGAAGAAAAGATGGGAGCAGAAATTCTGCACAGGCTTGACTGTCGACTGGCAGAGCACAGCCTTCTGGCATCCAACCTCCCTCTAGTCCGGTGTCCCTTTTGTGACTATGCCGAGATAGATGACATATACACGCCAGCCCACGAATCTGCTCTTCGCATCAAGTCGGATAGCATCTACAACCTCTTTTTTCTCGCTCTCTGTATCGGCACCCTCCCGTTTGTCTTCCCGTTCGTCCTCATATCCTCATTCATTTGCCTCCTTCTCAGCACACAGCAGTCCTTTGGCGACTACATATCAGTGGAGTGGTCCAAAGCCCTCAACCGTCACCGTCGTCGTCGTCGCGGTACCAAATTCATCTGCCAAAGTCCCAGCTGCGGCCGTATGTCGTGCCTCTCATGCCACAAATCGTGGAAGGATATCCACGTATGCAACGAATCCTCGCTCGTCGCCCTACGCACACAGGTCGAGCAGGCCATGAGCATGGCTATAAAGCGCGTCTGTCCCCGCTGCAACACATCTTTTGTCAAGAATGCAGGTTGCAATAAACTCACGTGTCCCTGCGGCTACAAGATGTGCTATGTTTGCCGCGCCGACTTAACCGACGAAGGATATCGACACTTTTGTGATCATTTTCGCCCAGAAGGTGATGCCACACCCTGCAAGGAGTGTGACCGGTGCAATCTCTGGGAATCTGAGGATACAGAACAGGTTTTGCAAGCCGCGCGCGAAGAGGCTGAGCGCAAGTGGAAAGACATGGAGAACCGAGAATTATCAGGTACGGAGCGGGCGTTCCTTGAAACAGGCGTTGCGGCGAATAGGATGAACGTAAGTGTTGAGCGTGTTCTCTTCAGCGGCCGGATTCCCGCTCTTTCGGAAGTGTTGGATCTGGTCGTAGAGACGCTTTTTGTTTAGAGTTATGGGTTTTTTTTTTTTCGAGTAACGGCGTACAGCAAGATGGTTCAATGAAGCCTCATTGTGACTTCAGGCGCAGGCTTAACGACTTCCACAAATATAAACATCAGGATGGGCACAGGGCGTCTTGTGGTTTAGAAATTTAAGAAATTGGTATTGAATTTGGCATATAAGATTGGGCATAACAGGACATGATAAAAATCACATCACTCAACTACAATACAAACTTTATGATAGTACATGCATATCCCATTGCAGAAACTCCGTTGATTGTGCTGAATTTTGTTTAGAGCTTGCTCTTGCCGTCGGTCCTGAGCTCAGCAGCCGCTCCGGCGATGGCAGGCTTGCCAGTTTCCTTAACCTTGGTCTGGAAGATGATCTTGTTGCCTTCTCGCCACATCTCTGTGATAAGGGTCTGACCAGGAATGACAACACCAGCAAAGCGGACCTTGATGTTCTTGAAGGCACCGAAGCGCTCATAGACGGCCTTTCCAGCGATGCCGAAGGAGCAGAGACCGTGGAGAATGGGGGCCTTGAAGCCACCGACCTTGGCAAAGGCAGGGTCGATGTGGAGAGGGCTACACAGGTTAGTTATGATTCAAATTGTGGATGGTAGTAAAACTCACTTGTAATCACCGCTCAATCGGTAGATGGCAGCCTGGTCATCATGGGTAGGTGACTCAACGACAACATCAGGGGCACGAGCAGGGGGCTTGTTGGCAGCAGTGGAAGCACCGCGGTCAGCACCGCGCTTAGGACCGCCGAAACCACCGGCGCCACGGAGGAAGACGTTGGCTTCATTGTAGAAGACGTCCTCGCCAGTGTTGGCGTCGACGGTAGTGGTGGAGGTTCGGGCGATAGAGGCATTACCCTTGTCGATGACCTCAAGGAGACGACCTCGGGTAACAAGGCGAGCATTGGTGGGGATGGGGAATTTGCGGATCTCGAGATATTGCTCACCGTGAAGAAGCATCATAGGAGAGAAGTTGGGCACAATATTGTCAAACTCGAATGGCATCTCCGCGTTGAAAGGAGGGATGACACCAAAGGTGGGAATGACCTGGAAGTCATCCGAGCCCTCGAAGACGTACTTGAGATCAGCGCGCTTGGCACCAACACCGAGGTTGTAGAGGATGACATCGCGCTCCTCGTACTTGTACTCAGTAGGCTTGCCCTCCTTCTTGAGAGTCTCCTCGATAACCTTAAGGTAGTTGGTCTCGCCAGATGACTCCTTAGGCTTAGAGCGGTTCTCCAAGTTGGCCATGATCTTGCCGATCGAGTCCTGGGACTTGGAGGGGTGGTCAGCACGGCCGTCAAAGGTGACGATGTCCTTCCAGTTCTTGAGGACCTCCTCGGGGGTGAGGGTGACATCAACGGGGAAGCCATGTCCACCGGTTCGTTGCCATCGAGTCTGACCGCACCAGCCGCTGCCAACCTCGTACAAACCACCAGTAGGGTTGGGGCACTTGTCGCTGCAGAGAGCGAGGACAAGGGGCGCAATGTAGTCAGGCTTGAAAGCCTGAACCATCTCCTCAGGCATGATGGTGGCAGTCATAGCAGTACCGGCATTGGGGGCGATAGTGTTAACATAGATGCCGTACTTCTGACCCTCAAGAGCAAGAGCTCGAGAGAAACCAAGGATACCACATTTCTATGACCGTTAGCAATTATCATAATGAGCGGCATATTGAGAACTTACAGCAGCAGCGTAGTTGGCTTGACCAAAGTTGCCATAGATACCACTGGTTGAAGTAGTGTTCAGGACACGTCCGTACTTCTGCTTGAGGAAGTAAGGCCAAGCAGCCTTGGTGACCTTATAGGTACCACGGAGATGCACATTCAGGACGGGGTCCCAGAGCTCGTCGTTCATGTTGGAGAAAGCCTTGTCGCGGAGGATGCCGGCATTGTTGATGACGATATCAACACGGCC